AGAGATCAATGAACTGATTTGCTCTAGGTAATCACACAGATGGGCAGTAAGACTTGCGCTGTGCTCCGAGAGGACACGAAAAAGTGAAATGTATTCATTCCTTGGGAACAAGATTAATACAATCTAGCAGTAGAGTTAAGACATATACAACAATAACTGTGAGACAAGGTGAATGGAAGTGCTGGAATGTTCATGGGAAACCTGGAAAAGGACAGCTCCCTTCCAAGCGCAGGGAGCCAGGAAAGAATTTATGGAAACAGCATTTAAACTGCACTTCGGTAGACTTGGGCCGTATGGAAATAGACTGCCAGGAACTTTCTTAGGCACATAGAAAAGACTGAGAAGTGCAGGGCTACAGAGGAAAACAGCAGTAGTTCACGCATGGGTCAGGCAAATGACACCAACTGCAGTTCATTTCTGAACCTTCCTCTCCCCGAGTCAAGAACAGCAATTAACCCACTACTTTTATTTTTTTTTAGTGTAACAGATACTTTTTCCTTCACCTTTAGTAAGATTCTATATCTGGTTCACAAGTATTAATATATGAACAAACAGACCAAATGGTGTGAAATGTACTAATTCAAACGTGCTTAGCACACATATACTGGGATGGCTAATAGTTTATATGAAAATTAGTTAAATCTAATCATGGGAATAATGAAAAGTGTGAAATATAATAAATTCATCTTCTTTAATTTGTGATAAATGCACGTAAATCTTCCAATTATGGGATTATGAAAAACCTTTAGGGAGTATGTTGGACTATGGTCAATAATCAGAAGAAGAAATACACCCTCTGTCATAGTTAATTTAACAGATCATTCAAATAATCAAAAAATTTTCAAGAAAAAGAGGGTGAAGCAACTTTCGGTCATGATAGCATAAAGAGATCAGTGAACTGCCATCCTGAAAAGTGAGAATAAAGTTGGACAAAATTACAACACTAACCATTCCATGGTGCTGGATATCCACTAAAGAGAATAAATTGAGAGGCATACTCAGCAGGAGCTAGAACTTCAGGTAAGAACACCAAGAGTCGTTAGTCCCCCAGCCACAGGCTATCCACACATACCACCTCCCCCCTGCCCCCACCCCACCCGCCCCACTTCCCCACAAGAAGTTGAACCAGGCCAGGGCTGGCAGTGAAAATCAGTAGGAAACAAACAGAAAAACCTACAGCACGAGGCTGCCTTTCCCATTAGAGTGTATGAGTTTTCTACTGCTGCTGTAACAAATCGCCACAAACTCTGCAGCTTAAAACGCCACAGATTAATTATCTTACAGGTCTCTATTTCAGAAGTCTAAAATGCATCTCATGGGGCTAGAATCAAGGTGTCAGCAGGGCTGGTTTCCTTTCAGAAGCTCCAGAGAATTCATTTCCCTTTTTCTAGCTTCTCCAGGCTGCCACATCCCTTGGTCCCCTTCTTCCATGCTCCAAGCCGGAACACTGCTTCTCTCAGCCCATTCTCTCCCAGACACATGTCCCTCTCTGACTCTTCTGCTGCCTCCCTCTTACACTTTTAAGGACCTTTGTGGTGGCACTGGGCCCACCAGATAAACTAGAATAGTTTTCCTGTCTTAAGGTCAGCTAATTAGCAACCTCAATTCCATCTGCAACTTTAATCTTCCCTTGCCATGTAACCCAACATAGCCACAGGCTTGGGGGATGAGGATGAGTACATCTCTGGAGGGCAACTGTTGTGCCTATCACAGAGGGCAAATGGCAGAACAGCCGAGAAATGGGAGAAGCAAAGAAGGACAACGTAAGCCACCCACAGAGTCCTGGCTGACTGTGCAGGGGAAATAAGAGAGGGCCCTGCAGAAAGTTAAAGCAGAGGCCGAAGTGAGAAGTGGCTGAACTCTGACAGTCCTCTCCAACCTACACACACCCACAGGCAGAGGGCAGAAGCCTCATGGGGTTGAGGATTTGAGCACAACCTGTATCCAAACATTGGCTGTGAGCACTATGCTCCGTAAATGCAGGGGTGAACTCTAGGAAACTTAGTCCCTTTGGGGTATTGTAACAAAACACCAGACACTGGGTGGCTTCAACACCATTTACTTCCTCACAGTTCTGGAGGGTGGGAAGCCCAAGATCAAGACACAAGCAGATCTGGTGTTTGGTAAGAGCCTGCTTCCTCGCTCTGGCTGTCTTCTCACTTTGTTCTCACATGACAGAAGGGGCACGAGAGCTCTCTGGGGACTCTTTTATAAGGAACTAATCGCACTCATGAAGGCTCTTCCAACATGATTTGAACACCTCCCCAAAGCCCCATCTCCTAATACCATCACATTGGGATTTGAACATATGCATTCTAGGGGGACACAAACATTCAGTCTATAACAGAAACCCTGCTAAAACATTAAAATAATTTTTTAAACAAAAAGAGCAGATATATCGATAAGCCAAACACATTACAGACTTCACACATGAAAGCTAGGCAAGTTAATAAAAAAAATAACTTCAAGGGGAAAAAGTTAGAATTCAAAGTTGCTGCATTATAAAGGATGTCCAGTTTTCAATAAAAACTTGAGACATGAGAAGAAAGAGGGAAGAATGGCCCATAGTCAGAAAAAAGCAAACTTTCAGTGGGCCTGTATGTTGAATTTAGCAGATTAAAAAGTATAAAGCTGCTATTGTAAATAAGTTCAAAAAGTTTACTACCCAGAGTAATAACGTGGTACACTAAATAGTATTTGTGTAACACAAGAGAAGGCAGTACAGGAGGAACAAAAAACCTGAGACACAGAAAATGAATACAAAATAGAAGATATAAATCCAAAATTATTAATAATCAAATGTGAACAGACTAAACACTAAATCAAAAGGCAAAAATTTTCCGACTAGATAAAAAACACACAACTGAATTATATGCTTCCAGCAAAAGACACACATTAGATTCAAAGACACAAGTTGAAAGCAAAAGGAAGGGAAAATATGTAATATAACCAGTAACTGTAAGAGCTAGACTGGCTATATTAACACAAAATAAAATTCATGGTAAGAAATATTCCTGAAGGCAAAAAAAAGACATTTTATAATGATTTTAAAAAGGGTCAACACATCAGGAAGACATAGCCCATATAACATGTCCCACAAAATCCCACTGTAAATGGATATGCATCTAACAGAGCCAGACAATTCATCAGGCAAAACCTGACAAAATTAAAAATACACAATTCAAGAATTATACTTGGAGACATCAACACTTCCCTCTTGGTATTTGGTAAAACAAACCGAAAATCAGGTAAGGATAAGAGACTTGAGCAGCCCTATCACTAAACTTAACCTAATGTACATTTATAGAATACTCTGCCCCAAAATAGAATATATATTTTTTCAAGCACTCAAAGGGCATCATCCAGGATAGATCAAATGCAATATCGTCAAATAATTCCTAATAAAATAATTTAAAATACATTCTTCAATACATAATTCAAAGTAAGCTATCTGATCATAAGGGAAATCAAATTAGAAATCAACAATGGAAAGAATTTTGGGAAATCTCCAAAGATTTGGCAAACAATATATTTCTATATTTCCATAAGAAGAAATCACAAGAAAAATTAGAAGATCTCTTAAAATGAATGAAAACAAATATACAACATGTCAAAATTTACTGTATGCAGGTAAGAGGAAAATTTATAGCTTTAAATGCCTCTGTTAAAGAACACAGAACTCAAAATAATCTTCACTTTAAAAAACAAAAAATAGAAAATTAAATGAAAAAGAAAAATAACAGACCAGAAATCAATGAAATAAACAGAAAAATTTTTTTTGAAAATCAATGAAATGTTAGTTCTTTGAAAAGATCAACAAAGTTGATAAACCTTTAGCCAAACTTAGGACAAAAAGAGAGAACACAAAAATTACCCAAATCAGAAATGAAACAGGGTTAACGTTACCAACCTTACAGATATGAAAATAATTACAGAAGAATATTATTAACAACCTCATGCCAACAGATTACACAACTTAGGTGAAATGGAAAAAACCTAGAAAGAAAAAAATAACCAAAACTGACTTAGGAAGTAGAAAATCTGAACAGATCTATATTAAACAATTAAATTAATCTAGTAATTTAAGATGTCCCACACAAGCATAGATGATTTCACTGGTGAAGTGTATCAAATATTTAAGGAAGAAATAAAATCAATCTTTCACAAGCTATTTCAGAAAACAGAGGAGGAAAGAACATTTCCCAAGTCATTCTGAGGCCAGTATTACCCTGTTACCAAAGCCAAACATATCAAGAAAACTACAGAGCAGTATCTCTCATGAATACAGACCCCCAAAAATCCTTAAGAAATTAGAAAATAGAATCCAGCAACATATTAAAAATATTATTAACCAATACCAAGTGAGATTTACACAGGAATGTAAAGTTGGTTTAACATCCCCAAATTAATGTATTATAACACATTAATAGATTAATGAACAAAAATCACATGATCATCTCAAAAGACAGAGGAAAAGCAACTGACACCCATTCAGGATTAAAAACTCTCAATAAACTAGAAATAGAAGCAAACTTCCTAGCGTTAATAAAGGGCATCTAAGAGAAACTTACAACTATCATACCTCCTGGAGCAATGGAAATGTTCTAAAACTGGATTGTGGTGACCACTGCACAACTGTGTACAAAAAAAATCACTGAAATGTACACTAACAGCAAGTGAATTTCATGCAATGTAAATTATTCCAGTAAAGGTGATTTTAAAAAGAAAGTCCAGGAGTTCTCCATCCCTGAAGTACGCAAGCAGAGACTGAACAAGCTCCTATCAGGGACACTAGGGTGGGGGTCTCCATGACCTTCATACTTGACCCCACTGTCTGTCACTAAGAGCATGTGGCCTTTTGACCCACAGTGCTGGTTTATACATTTTTTTTTTTGGTGGCTTTTCCAAGTTGCTATTCCTAGGGTAGCAAAGGAGAAAACATTTGTGACTACTCTTCCAAATATTTCACTTGCAAATATTGAACAGAGAACATTTTTCACCTTTCGTCCTGTAAAGGCAGCACGATGAAGTGGCGTGTCTCCCATGTCATTTAATACATTTACTTCTGCACCAGCCTAGTAAACATGAAAGCTTTAAACACCTTCCACATATCAAGAAATATACAAAGGTGAAAATAATTCTCTAAAAAATACATTAAATATTTTAAAAATTAAAGTAACGGTTGAGACTGATCGTCACTATTAACAATAAATTCAGTTCATAGTACAACAGTAAGCTTCCTCAAAGGTAAAAATCTACCTGATAGGTAGAAAATAAAAAGCTGCTTTTCATTCAAAGTCTATACACCCTTCAAATCATTCTACTCTAGAAGCACTCATATTGAAAAAAGGAGAACTGTTTCTCTGAATAAAATAGCATATTTTCTCCACCACTGTAAGTTTAACGGGAAAAAAAGAAAAGGATGCCACTATTTAAATGGTGGAGGAGCTGGAGGTTTACTGGCTGCCCTCAGCTCCTGAATTTCAGGTTTTGAGTTACTGGATCAGTGTTAAGATGCAACCCAATTTCAAAAATATCAGTATGTGGAAACTTATTCATCAGAATTGAGAAGTGAGTTCTTAAATTACATGGAGCTCACTAAGAGATTCTGACATTATTTTTGAACTACACAGTATGTGCTTTGGCAATTTTTTTTTAACTTATGCTCAAAAAATAACATAGTATCTTCATTAACTCGTATGTCCATTTTTGCAACTGTAAAAAGTCAATCATGTAAAAGTCAAATGATTGATAGAACAATTGTAGCTAATCAGGCTAAACTAATTCATATGTTTCGCAAAGTATTAAGTGTCTTTAGTGATCAGCGATTACTTTAAATAGGCCATTAAGGCTCAGATGGCTTTTCTAAGACTTTCATAATTTTCCTATTAGCAATATTTATTTTATTCATTTAAAAACTAAAGCCATAAATATACCTTTAAGAGATCCTGGACCACTTGTCTATGTCCAAAATAGCATGCCAGATGAAGAGGTGTCCAACCCAAATTAGACTTACTTCTCCCTACAAAAATGGAAAGAAGTATTTTTAGATGTTATTTAGGTAATTTTACAATAAAGTTAATTTCTCCCTAGTATGCTGCACCAATCCAGTGGACAGCGGCTCCCTTCACTGCTGATGAATGTGAGACTAACACATGTTCTGAGTGTAATGGAGTAGAACTCACAAGACCCAGATTCTGGTGCCATATTCCTAACTCAACGGCCTCATGTCTGAAAGGGTGAAAGGAGACATGATAGCGGTTACATTCAAACTGGATGAGTTCTAGTAGCCTGTGGCTCTAAGGTGCTGAGTGTCTAACCATCTTGCCATCGTTCAGCAAAGATGTGATTCCCTCGGCACAGTATTTCATGAAAAGCTCCTCTTCTTGAAAATCTGTCCCATTAGGAGGGTGGGTAGGAAGGGGGAACTTGGAATGACTCTTTCCTGCAGCATTTGGAAAGCCATTAGTGCTGCAGAAAGGGACAGGAAATGGGAGTCCTGACTTCAGATAAAACCTCAGGTAATGAGGCTAAGGGTTACCGGGGTGGTTGAGTCCAATTAGACAGCAAGAACCAAAACTAAAAGCAACGAAATGTCAGGTCCCAGCTGAGGAGAGGTATAAAACGACTGAGTGCGGTAAAAACGAGCGATGTAATTCAATTTAGGGAAATAAAAATGAGGGCACTATAGCTTACAGCTGAGATAGTGTCAGAAGGTTACCAAAATCTCCCATCAGGCTTGAAAGAATACAGCCTCTCAAAGTCCCAAAGCCCACCACCCTGGAGGGTCTACCAGAGCCCAGGAGAAATCCTTGGGAGGAGCTGGAGGTTTAAGGGTTGTGCTCAGCTCCTGGATTTCAAGTCTGAGGCCAACAGAAAGCCCGGCCACCAGCCTCAGGGCACCCAGAATAGGCCTCTAACAGCTTCCGGAGGGACTGCCATCGCCAGCCGTGTCCCTGTGATTGTTTGCCATTTACCTAAACTCCCACAATATTCCCTGTCACATGTGTAATCCCACAGGCAATATGTCCTACAGCCTTGGTCCATTTCATGGAACATTTCTCTTTACCCTCTGGTCCTTCACTGAAACCTATCTCCTCCTGACGACACTGATTCTCCTTTATCCCGAGGGGAGCCTCCCAGTACCCACACACCCCTGGTCCTCACAGCACAGAAGCCAGGTGAGTCTCCGCATCAAAACCTAGCGCAATCTTTGGTCACTGACTTCACTCACATTTCAACCCCTCGTTTGAGGCTTCCCCATTAAGCCACAGCCACACCTCCCTCAAATGCCTTCTCTCCTGCCATCTACCAGCCTCCCAGTGGCTCCCCTCTCACCAGTTAACTCTGGGCAACACAGTCTTTCTCCCTGAGGCAAATCCTGCCACCATTCTAGGTGTGTCTCCTACTGTCCAGTCTCCTGGTGACTCAGGTTCTCAGCTTCCTCCGCTACCCCACAAATTTGGCCTCTGCTCAACGGTGGGTACCCAGTCTCAGAGCCAGAGCCTCGATGTCACTGTCATGTCTGAACTCGGACACAGAAAGCCCACTTTCCCAGAGTCCTCATTTTCCAACTTGTTCACACAGATAAAGCCCCAGACACGCTCTTCAACTTAATCAACCCTCCAGTTCCTTAATCACTTCTCTTGTATGTAAATTCCCCCACCATCTTCACTTCCATCAATAAATCCAGCATCTATTTCTTGATTCCTTTTAACATTTCTTTGCCAATATCCTATCTTTGTCACAGAAGCCTAGAAAAACCCCAAAGCCTGGTAATACATTCGCTCAATTTTTCTATAACCGCAGCTAGGTTGCTAAACGGTGGTGGAAGAAAAAACACAGAACTTTGTGGATTCATGGCTCCAAAAAATTCAGATCTCATACTCCAGCTAAGTCTTGATCATGACTGGCGATCCTTTCCGAGGTGCCCTGGGCTTGGTGCTAGACAGGGTTGCAATGCTTTCACTTGTTAGATAGAAGAGACACAAATGTTTAGTTGCTCCTCCCTATTTGCAACTAAAGAGGGAGAGGCTGAAGATAAAGGAGAAAAAGGAAAGCCTAGGAAGCAGGAGGGCCTGGGATCCAAGATACAGGAGGCATGATTATCGTGAGACCTCAGGAAGAGAGGATAAAAGGGAGCCTGTGGGTAGAACTGGTGCCAGGCAGCCCAGGGAATTCTGTGAAAGCTTCTCTTTTTGTGTGAGGCTAAGACAGGAGATGATTTGTTAAGGGGGAGGCGTCTGGTAAGAGGGTTGAGGAGAATAGTAAAGGACTGACACAGCTGTGCGGGAGTACAGGGGGCATGTGAACAGGGCACCGTGGAGAGGATCCCAGGGGCTGCTACCTCCTGACCTGGCCTTATCCCTCAGCCCTCCTGCCTGCAAGCCCTTGCCATCTGCACTGCTTTTCATCTCAGGACCTGGTACATGGCCTGTCTTCTGCCTTCCTTGAACCATTTTCTTCTCTATTTTCACCTGGTTAAGTCTACACAGCTTCATTTATCACCTTGGTATCATCTCCACCGAGCAGCTAATCCTCCAGGTTCCAGTTCCATATCTCTGTGTCTCGTCACATCCTGCACGTCCACATCTTCCATATGTTGGTCCACGTTGTGTAAGGAGGACAAGTCTGATCTAGTCATCGACTGCTCTAGTCTCAGCAAGGGCAGGAATTCTGACATCTCCAAGGCACTTTACATGACTCTGGGTGTACAATAAACACTTAAACCTGTTGCTACAACTACAGTATCTTTGAGAAGAAAAAATCATCATAGCATGCATCCTGTGGACTCAAGGTCACCCTTGTAGGTCTCATGGTTTGGGATCCATGACAGTTTTAAAGACTGGATCTCAATTTCTCTGACTCAGAGGGAAGTAGGAGAGGACCCACCCTTAAGGGGGTTCTTTTTAAAGTAAGAGATGGAAATTTATTACAAGCAAGATCAGAAAGATTAGTACTAAATAAATGATAAAATAGGGCATACTCACAAGAAAAGCTATAAAATTCATTCAAAGCTTACCTTTGCAATTAATGTCAGCAATGATCTCGTTCCTTCCCATAGTTTCTAGCAGCTGTCTCACCTCTTCAGCGTTGCCATTTCTGGCATGATGGAGCAGCTGTTGCTCTGCTTCTGTGTTCATTTCTAGATTGAAAAAAAAAAGTAACATTGCTATTATCTAAGAATATAGTTTGCTTTTGGATATTATCTACTAATACACAAAGGGGAAAAAAATCATCTTAATTTTGTAGCTAACCAGACAGACAAAAGAACTGATTAAACGAGTCAGCTGCAGGGCCAAAACTTGACCCTGAGACTCTTTGTTCACTATATTATATACTGAAGAAGTGCACTAGACATTTGGGCAAGTTTCTTACTCTCTCAAAGCCTGTCTCCTCATCTACAAAATAGAATCAACCTCATGAGCTGCTGCAAGATTGTGCCTATGAAAGCATTCCACTAAAAACAAAGTATTTTGTAAATAGTAATTGGTACAACTTTAATAACTAGACAGAAAGCTGAAATATGGTAATTCATACAAAAGTATTAGTCTGAAATGTAAATTAATGGATTAAAAATAGTTAAGAAAATAATTACAGATAATTATCCTGGAGTGACCACACTTAAAAATAAATCCTCATACTTTCTTACCAAGCCTAAAGCCAACTATAGAGGACTATAACCAAATTTAAAGCATTGATGTCAAAGTGTAGTGAACAGCAGTTTCCAGAAAAAATACAAATTTCTTTCACCCTAATAATTAAATGCAAATAAATCAAAATGATTCTTTTTGCCTACTTGATTAGTAAAAATTAAAAAAAATTAAACATACCAAATGCTGGGATGGACAGAAAATGTGTACTCCAGTAAACTGCTAATAATATTATGCATATTATATATTAACATGCATACAATCCTTCATATGTTGTAGGAGGAAAGGCAACAATTTGACAAGATCAAAGAATTTCAAAATATACATGCACCTAGGGAGCATTCTGGGAGATGGCCAAGTAACTGTCTCCCC